TCATTGCCCATGCTTCTGCGCCATATACCAGCACGGGCATGATGAGTGACTTATAGAGCGTGGTTTTCGTACGTCGAGAGAGGACTTTACTCAGTCCAAAGTAGCACTTTTTGGCAAGAGTGATTCTGCGTTGGATTTCAATGCTGACATTATTATCGGTGTTAATGCTGGTTCCCAAGTAACCGAAATCCTCTACTTTCTCGAAATTGTAACTGTCAACAGTGACGTGGGTGCCAAGGCGCGAATGTGCTGACTGTTTGTTTAATGACAGGAGATACTTCGTCTTGTCCTCGTTTACCACCAGACCCATTCGCTTTGCTTCCCTATCCCACTTGGAAAAGGCAGAAAAGGCTTCGCGGTTTTTGTTACCGATGATGTCGATGTCATCGGCATAAGCCAGCAATTGCACGCTCTTGTAGTAAATTGTTCCTGAGCGGTTCAGTTCTGCAGCTCTTATTATCTTCTCCAACATCAGATTAAAGAAGTCACATGAAAGAGGGTCGCCCTGTCTGAAACCCCGTTTTGTGGCGAACGGCTCGGAGAGGTCTGTCCCAATTCTGACGGAGCTGGTGGGATTGCTCAACGTCATTTTACACAGCCGTATGAGTTTTGAGGGGATGCCAAATTCAGACAAAGCGGCATATAGGCAACTCCTTTTAGTGCTGTCAAAAGCGGCTTTAAAGTCGACAAATAGGTGGTGAGTGTCGATCCTTTTCTCGCGATCCTTTCCAAGATTTGGCGTATTGTGAATACCTAGTCTATGGTGGATTTGTCAGTTCTAAAGCCACACTGATAAGGCCCAATCAGTTCGTTGACGGTGGGCTTCAGTCTTTCACACAATACGCTCGATAAGACCTTGTAACCTATGCTGAGAAGGCTGACCCCCGGTAGTTGGCGCGAATGGCGGGGTCACCTTTCTTGTGGATTGGGCAGAGCACACTTAAATTCCAGTCGTCAGGCATGCGTTCATCTGACCATATTCTGCACAAGAGTTGATGCATGCACCTTATCAACTTCTCGCCGCCGTACTTGAATAGCTCAGCTGGCAGGCTGTCAGCTCCAGCGGCTTTATGGTTTTTCAGTCGCGTTATTGCTATACGTACCTCGTCATAGTCAGGCGGTGGAACGTCGACTCCGTCATCATCGACTGCGGGCTCGGGTTCTTCTTCTCCACAACTTCCCCTGCTGCTACCATTTAGTAGGGCGGAAAAGTGTTTCCTCCATAATTTAAGTACGCTCTGGACATCAGTTACTAGGTCGCCGTTATTGTTCTTACAGAAGTACGCCCCGATCTTTAAACCTTCCGTAAGTCACCTAACTCTCTGGTAAAATTTTCGGGCATTCTTCCTGTCGGCCAGCATTTCAAGCTCTTCGCACTCACGTATTTCGGCCTCTCTCTTCTTATTGCGGCAAATACGTCTCGCTTCCCTCTTCAGAACCCTATAGCGGTCCCATATAGCGCGCGTTGCGCCCGATCGGGCGTGGCCCTGTAGACGGCATCTTTTTTCTCTGCAGCTTCATTACACTCCTCATCGTACCAGTTGTTCTTTCGGGCTCGCTGAAATCCGACTACGTCTCCGGCGGCGGTACTTAATGAGCGGGAAATGTGGTTCCACTGCTCGCATATGTCGGTTTGTTGAAGAGTGCTCTCTGAGAGCAGGTGTGAGAGTCGAGTAGCGAAAGCGTTGGCTGTCTGTTGTGATTGCAGCTTTTAGACGTTCAGCTTTCCTTACATATTTCGGCGCACATTTTTTTGCTGCAGAGAGGCGGGTGCGTATCTTGGCTGCAAAAAGATAGTGGTCCGAGTCGATGTTTGGACCTCGGAGTGTGCGTACGTCTAAAACACTGGAAGCGTGCCTTCCGTCTATCACAACATGATCGATTTGGTTTCTCGTTTTTCGATCCGGAGACAGCCACGTAGCTTGATGGATCTTTTTATGCTTGAACCTAGTACTGCATACTACCATGTTTCGGGCCCCGGCGAAGTCGATCAGCCTTAATCCGTTTTCGGACGTTTCGTCGTGGAGGCCGAATTTTCCGACGGTGGTTCCAAAGATCCCTTCCTTGCCCACCCTGACATTGAAGTCGCCAAGCCCGATTTTTATATTATGACGGGGGCAGCGCTCGTACGTGCGCTCTAAGCGCTCGTAGAAGAAATCCTTGGATGCCTCATCCTTCTCTTCCGTCGGGGCATGGGCGCAGATGAGCGAGATTTTGAAGAATCTCGCTTTGATACGAATTGTGGCTGGACGCTCGTCCACCGGGGGGAACGACAGTACTCGGCGACGGAGTCTCTCTCCCACCACAAATCCAACTCCGAATTTGCGCTCCTTTACATGGCAGCCCCAGACATTGCTTGCCTTGCCCCGTCCAACGCATTTGTTGGATGGCGGTGATGCCAGCTTTTGTCCTTACGGGGACATCAACCAGCCTGGCAGAGGCCGTGACCCAAGGCTCCACTCGGATTGGTCACCGTATCTCGCACATGGGTTGCTCACGTTGCCCAGAGTTCGCGAACGAGGACGCAAGAGTCGGGATTGAGTATAGCCATGCAACTGTAACTGCATACCCAGCGCAACGACTATACCCCAGTAAATTAGGGACTTAAAATTATACCATCATAATCCTTGTTTAATTCTCTATAAAAGCGTGGTTAAAAAATGGGGATTTTTCCAGAACTATTTTTAAAATATTTTTCCTTTTGGCTAGATGGTTTATTTTGTGAGAATCAAAATTTGTTTGTAATTTATTTTCGAAAACTTATGTTGAGATATATTTAGTAAGGTGTTAAACAGCGGGGTTTTGCAAAAAAAAACTTTATATAATATTTGTACGGCAAGATTTTTCTGTAAGGCGACAAACCCGTAGAAATCGGCGTGGCAATTGCAGGACCAAAGTTAGCAAAACGCAGATTTTATTGCGGATTTCGGCAGAATATCGCTTCCTTAACAACTTTTGTTCCACACCTTTTTCAATTTTAATGAAACTCAGAGGAGTTGGTGAAGATGTGCAGAATTTAGGTTTAAACCCTCTAAGGAACACTTGTATCGAAATATTAAAGAAAAATAACATTCCGGAATTGGTAGATGTTCAACCTGAATATCAGTAACAGTAGCAACATGTCTTCTTATATATTAATATAATATAATAATATAATTCCCATACAAATCTAATTCTCCCTTCTGTTCCTATGAATTATTAAATTATTTTACAGAATGCGTATCACTCCACCTAACAATATTAGTGACCTAGACGAACAACAGGTGCTGATTGACCTAAAAAATGCAAGATATAAAAAGTGAATGAAATAAGTGAAGGGGTCGAACTCCGACCGCTGGGTTGTACAAGTATATATTAATTAGTGTTGGGAAGTATCGAGTACTTTTGAGGATCGAGTTCTTTGGTATCTATACTTTTGAGGATCGGGTATTTTTCAGAGTACTGAGTACTTTCTTTAAATATACACATGTTGGTAACATTTCCATTCTTAGGGCCGTTTTCTCATCTATCCTTTAGATTACTGGCCACTTTATCGTCTCGATATACGAGTTTTGGTTTTCTCTATAGCGCATTAATTTCTCGAATTGATAAATTTTTGCACACCCGATGCAACCTTTAAAAGTGTGTACCCAACTTAAAATTTTGGTTTGGTTTTTGTTCATGCGTCAGATATATTAGATATTTCAACCAAGGTTTTGGTTTTTTCTAACAGTTGCTCGTGCTCTATATTTGATTATGTTGCATTTCCAACATTTGAAGTTTTATGATGAATGTAGTGAAGTTTCACTCTTGTGCTGCCGTAATTACGGAATAACAAATTTATTTTTACCGGTAAGATAAGAAAACGAAAACACTTTAAAGTGACGAACAATTTAACTGCCCTGTTAGTAAAGGCAACTTTACTGCTTACATTAGAAAACGGCCCTTAGTGTAGAAATCTCACAAGCTAGTAGAATTTTATTTAAATCAATATATCAAATGAATTGCTAACTGTACTGGGTACAAGTATTATGCTTGAAAATTATTGAACTGCAAATTGAGTACAATCATTTCTGAATACCTTTAAGTGCAAATAAAACTCAGTACATTTTAAGTCTATTTGACACTTAATACCGAGTACTTTGAATCGATCCTGAGTACATGTATCAAAGCGATTATTGGAACAGGGTATTTTTTAGTACTGACTACTTTCGAGTTATTTTGTGAGTACTGAGTTCTTTGGAGTACTCAGTATCGATACTTTTAAAAATCGGGTGCTGTCGATCCTTCTGAGAATCGAGTTCTGAGTACTTTTGGTATCGATACTGCCCCACACTAAAATCAATGTAGGATATGCTTTCTGACGACCACAAAACCAAACGTGACCGTGAATTGCGGTGGAAACGTTGGACCAAATATTTCAATAAAAATAAATAAAATTGGGCGGGAGGAAGTTCGCCGGGTCTGCTAGTAATTTGTAAAAAAACGACGGCAATAATGCAGCATTTACCATTCAACGTGGAGTCGATATTGCTTGTGAGTGTACATTGAAATGTTCTTCCGTTAACAATATCAGATTTGTAAATAAAATATCATTTGCTTGAGACTCCACGTTATCTCCGGCTAAATCAATGATAATAAATAGTAATTTCAGTAAAAAATAGCATAAAATGGGAGACACAGCGGAGGAAAATACAAAATAAAAATAAACTAAAGTCAGACTGCTGCACTTACACAAAATTACCACCAAAACCGCTTAATAACTAGTTGGGAGAGGAAGTCAACCAATATGGCGAGAGCTTAGAGAAAAAGCTACATTTGCTGACAAAAATGTTGTACGCTTTTATGGCTGAAATTTATTTTAAAAACAGCGCATGCGTAGCTTATTTCAGCGCACCTCAACTTAACTCGCGATCAGCTGCACTTAACAATTCCAATCAATTTGCATGGAAGCAGTTCAATTTTGCTCCATTGATATTCGGTGTCAGCAACTTCCAATGACGGCGGTAATAATAAGAAACTGAACATTTTTTCAAGCCAAATGGCAGTTGGCCAATTGTTGGCCAATTTAGTCTGCGTTTGAGCAGCACTGCGTACGGTACACATTATTTGAGCCGTGTTTAGGTTTCCAGTGAATTGCTTAACAAGAAATGAGTAAATACATACAAACTTATTTGTTTCCTTAGTTGCGATACATATGTACATACAAAAATGTTGAAAAAATTGTGAAAAAATCTAGTAAATTTGTACGCGTTTCCGGAAATCTAATATGATTGTTTAAATAAATTTAAAAATTATGTGTTTTGAAAAATTTTCCTTAAAAGAATTTCGTAATGCCAATTGCATATTTTCCACTGCCAGTAACTTTGAATGTTTTCTTTCGAATACCAAGTGAAATGAATAAATTGAGCAAAAATTAAGTTAATGTAAAGATAGCAAAAAGATATTAAAAAGTTGGTGAAAATTAGGAAAGACACAACAATAAAAATACGGTCTATATATGTTAAAACTATTTATCGTAGTAGTATCGTATGCAATTTTTTGTGTTTTTTTACCTTTTGCTTGCACTTTACAGCTGCAGTGCAATATGCAACAAGATAAGTGTCTACGTACGCACACAAGCACAGCAAACGTACATATATAATATATATATAAGCATTTACAGCAAAAGCTAAGCCACCAACTACAAATGTATAGATACTCTACATACAAATGTATATATACATATATATATATTTATATATACATACGTACGAATGTGTTCATATGTACATACATATCGTCGATGTTTTTGCAAAACCGCCCATCGACTAACTGCAAAACCGCCTACCTTACGACACTCAATTTGAAACAGGATAGCGAAAAAACGGGTTTTCTTTGAAGGCATTGCTTTGACAGGCTGTATTTTATATAGCTATTATTTAACAAATCTATTGTTTTAACAACGATTTTAAGATTTTTATGCATAGATCTCAGGAGTTCAGGGTTACCAAATCTTATTTTTGCCACAACAGCGATTTAGGCTTTAGGATTTTGCAACTGGTCGATGGGCGGTTTTGCAAAAACATCGACGATATATGTACATGTAAATACATATTTAAAGCAGTGCGATCTGAAACAAGGGCGTGCTTTGGAGTTTTAGTTTCTTATTCAAACGCTGCTGTTGCTTGCATGCGAAACTTTATCCGATCATGCGCTTACTTTTGCATTTGTATGCATAAGTGCATTTCGTTGTGGTTTTCTCATTTCTTTTATTGACTCTCTTCATATGTTCCAAAGCTTTTTTTCCACTGAACACATATTTCTGCCGCGGATTTTTGCTTGTGTGGTTTATAACTAGACTATATATGTAGGTATATATGTATGCATTCAAGCATATATTTGAAGATAAATACATGTGTTTGGACATATGTATGTATGCGCTTGTGTATATAAATATCTTTATGATAAAATATAGATTTTTGTGTATAACAATATCAAACGATGCGTGCTCAAGTTTTTAACACTATGTTATTATATTTATATTTTTTATTTCGAAAATGGTTTTATGTGTAGTAATACAATTTAATAAAATCGTTAATATAAAGAAAAAAACAGAAAAATGCTTGCTAACAGTGTGGAGAAGTGTTAAATAAAATTCTCACAAAAATACAAAAACACAGTGCAATAACCAGTCAAGTGAAGCGAATAGCTGTTAAAAGCAACAACAGGAAGGGATTTACGAGAAAAGCAAGCAATACCAGCAGTAGCAACGAAAGACTGAAGTAGCGAACTTGGATTTGAAATACTCATACTGTATCTACAAAAGGGTGCTGCTAATTTGAAAAAAATTTCAGGTAAGTTGAAAAACAAAACTTTGCATCCAACACAACGAATCAAAACAAGAAACAAACAACCGACAAGTGATGAAATCTTGCAAAACCTACCAAATGACACAATAGGCAAATTTGCATTCCTTTCGCCCGCCCGCTTGATTACCGAAATGGCCTTCAAACCAGCTGTGAAATGCAAATTATTCGTAGCAAAATACGCTGTTCGCTGCTGCACTTGTGCCTGCATTATATATTTCTTACACAACAAATACAATAGCCAAAGAATACGAAATCACAAGTCGACACTGTTACATGTGTATGTATATATGTACATACATACGCACTACGTACACACTTAAGCATATTACATGCATGGCTACAAATAATTGCGTATCTTGAAAATTAACATCACTGCGGGCCCTTGCAACATACAAATTACGCACACATTAAAAGTTTCCAAACTTTTCAGGCATTGCTAATTATGCCCCATTGTGTGGCATGTACCAATCGCCCTTCACAACCAATTCAACTCTAAGATATTTTTCGCGTTTTTGTTCTTCGTTTGAACTTAACTTCAAATACCCATAGAAACGTGTTAGTTATAAAAAACTGCAAATTTTAAAGTCAAATATATGTACATACATACATACAAATATACATAAATATATAAATTCAAAATAACAGATGCAATATTAAACACGTTGTAAATATCCATGTCCGTACTTATTTAAGTGTGTATATACCACATATTATGTTTGGCGTGGTGGGCCGCTGTTTTGTGTCAATGTGTGCGCCGGTACCAACTGCTAGCAGCGCGTCATTATCAGCGTTGCCGCTTTGGTAATTTTTTACCAAATCTGGTAATTTGTTTTCCTTTTTAGAACGAGTTTGGTAATTTTTTTAACTTTGGTAATTTTTTTCCTACGTAAGGCTTTTCTCTTAAGTTTTTAATACTAACTTATTACTGATAAAAATTTAGAACTTTGAACCTTCTTACAATTGCACAAAACAAAAAATTTGCATCTTAAGACACCCAAAAATTGAAAGAGCTCTTTAACGTAAAAATTTGACTTGACAAGACAGATCTTTTACACCCCTATTCCGCAACACTTTTGTATACCTTTCACAGTAGAAGAGGGGCTTCCGCCCTCTTCTCCGGCAACAAAAAAAGGAGAATTCTCACTAGTAAGGCTTGTAATCCCTAAGCGTGGCCGAAGGAAGAAGCAAGCTTGACCAGCTAGTGAACCTCACAAAATGCATACTTTCAATGGCTTGGACGAAGCTGGTATTGCATTAACTGGATTGAGAACTACTTCTTCAGGCATAGGAGGAGTTATAGCTTGTGGCTCAAGAATTCAACCAGAAGCTGACATAGATGTGTCCATGGTTACTATGCCCGGCAGCTCCGCAGACCTTTGTGAATACATTGCCATAGCGCGCTCTTACTCTGCTGTTATAATTGCAAATGCATCAGAATCCATAATTTTAATATGGACATGATGAGTATTTTTTTAATTCGGGTTCTAGAATAAGGGCTTTAATATATGTTCGCAATATAGCAATTTAAAGAAACCACCAATTTTTCCCAATATGACGGCTCGATCACAGCGCCTACAGTCCCACAAATCAGGTTTTTGGGTCATTTTTACCTGCTGGAACCAATGGTGAAAGAAAATAACTTTACAGGACTAATTACAATTTTGCAATTAAATACAAATGTGAGCCAATTATAAAATTGTAAAAGTAAATTTCATCTATCGTTTGACGATACATTTGCTGGTTTCATGTTTTAATTAATTTTTTGGTTTTAAGTTACATAAATACTTTATGTAAAAGACTGTATGTTAAACACCTTTTAAATGTTTGTAAATCTCTGAGCGATTTTTTTGTGTTATGTTTTAAAAATATTTGTGAATTGTTATAGTTTGAACACATTGAAAAGGACGACCACAGCTGTAAATTGTTCATCTTCATTATTTAAATGCTCTGTCGATTGTGATATGAATTTTTTGAACCCGGTGGAACTCATATGTCGCTCGAAAAATATGAATAAATCTAAGCTGACGACAATCTCAGTCGTGGTGTAGTTTTTTCGTCGCCAAAATAATTGTCTACATAAGAATACGTGGGAAAATAATTTTGCAGATGTGGTCCATAACTCGTCATTTTCAATTTACTATGTTTATAAAAATTTGTAAATTTTTTTTTAGAGTTTTGGTAACAAATTATAAATCTTTGTGGCAACACTGGTCATCATAGTTATCAAAACCGCAAACGCCTGAAGCAACAGCATTGCCGCTACACACCAGTGGCAACAACACAAAACACTTTCGGCTCCGCCTGCTTTGATGCGCAACAAGAAATTGTAACAAATTTTCGCCAATTTTACTTTCAATTGCAACTCGCTTTCCTTCTCACTTTCATTTGCTGTTTTTCTTCTAGTTACATACTTTTTTCGGTTAGTCGAATATATAAAAAACATATACACATGTTAATACCTATATTCAGTACCTACAACTATTGTTCTCTTTTTTTCAAAAGAGTTTTTGTTACACCTTTTGGGTCATCTTCCATTGTTGTTTCTACCTTACATAGGTGCCTTTTTGAATTCATTCGCATTGTAAAATATTTGATTTTGAACGCTTTTCATAGTTATACTTTCCGTAATTTGATACACTATTGCGTAAGGTCACGTATGTTTTTTATTTTTATTTATACATATGTATATATGTATGTGTGCATGTGTTATTGCAAATTAGCAATAATAACCTTTTAATTGAGTAGTTAAATAATTTGCAGCTCAAAACTTTCTGTAAATATGTTAAAACTATTGTAAAATGCAAGCACAAACACAGATGTGGTTTAAAATTTAGATGTGCCGTTATCTTTTGCATTGTGGACACTAATTATGATTTATTTCCCAAAAATTATGTTAGGTACATTAAACCATACAACACACGTGTTCATATTCCAATTTTCTGCTTAATATTTCCCGTGTACAATTACTGGAGGTTTTCAATTATTACTAACATAAATCTAAAATAAGCTAATAGTAAAAACTAATATTTTTAAAGCAAGCTTTCTAAATATGAACCAAATTGGACTATAAATACGGGGTTTTCAAATAACTCAACTCCTGCGCCACCTATCGGATTAACGTATTCGTTATTTCGTATTACATTAGTTGCGTTTTTTTACTCATTTGCAGTAAAAGTTTTTACGAATTTTCATGTTTTGGCGTTTTCGTACGCAAAAACTTGCAAGGTAGGGGAAATTGAGAGAGCGAAAAATTACAGTTGAAGTTGCAAGTTTTTACTGGATTTTACTGGATAAATTTTTACT